CAACCAGAAGCCACGCACCATCCTTCTACGCCGTACCCGGGCACAGGGCTTCAGCCACGCAAAAACAGCAGCAAACAGACACGTGAACAAATGCTATCTGAGTGTCCGGCCTAATTCCAGTTCTCAGCTGCCTCTGCATTTAGATTTATCCTCTCCAGTCCTGAGGACAAGCAGTTTGGGAATGAGTGCCTGGTAAGAATGCTGGCGAAGGCCAGGCACGGTGGTTCACGCCTGTAATCCCATTACTTTGGGAGGCCAAGGTAGGTGGATCACAAGGTCAGGAGTTCGAGACCAGCTTGGCTAACATGGTGAAACCCCATCTCCACTAAAAATACAAAAATTAGCCAGGCGTGATGGTGGGTGCCTGCAATCCCCGCTACTTGGGAGGCTGAGGCACGAGAATTGCCCAGAAGGCGGAGGTTGCAGTGAGCCAAGATCTCCCCACTGCACTCCAGCCTGGGAGACAGAGGGAGATCCTGCCTGGGAAAAAAAAAAAAAAAAAAAGAATTCTGGTGGACTTAGATGCATTGTTAGTACCTGCACCACGTGCTTTTCCACAGAGGTGGAGGCGATGGGGAGGGAATGAGAAATCTACAAATTGGGTGACCCTTTAATTCATCTCTCCGTGGCCCCCTCCCACTCTACTTCTTCCTGTTTCTCTCCTCTCTGAGGCTGAGAAGATCGCATTCAGCAAACATTTATTTCAGGTCTACTAGGTGCTGAGTCTCAGTGTCAGACAACTTCATAGACGTGAACTCAGATCTCTGCTTTGCATGTACTCTTCTTTCTGCCTGGAACCCACTTCTTCCTCCACCTTAACACACATCACATCACCTCACCAGACAAGTGCCCGTCCAGGTGACAATGGCCTAATGTTCCCTCAGAGCCCTCAGGACAATCATAATTGCTTGTGTGTCTGATTTCTCTCTCCCCAGCTGCACTTGGCTCCTAAGGAAGGCTCCCCACAGCCTGGCACACAGACCTGCGATGCCTCCTTCTCAAATAAATGAATGGGCCTGTAAGGTCATAATAAAAGCATGTCCTGCGTGCCAGGTACACATGAGCTCCATGCAGACACTGGTCATGCCAGCCACATGATGGCCACACTGTTATTACTCCCATCTTACAGATGAAGGAAAGTGTACCATTTGTCCCCTATTTTGAAACCTGGTAAGCATCTTGCCCAAGGCCACAGGGCTAATAAACACAGATTTAAACTGCATCTCCCAATTCTCTCTCCAGGTCACCAGGACTGCTCAGCGCATTACCTCCCTCTCTCCCTCCTCCTCTCATGCTCCTAGGGACCATTTCTTTTCTTTTTTTTTTTTAAAGACAGAGTCTCGCTCTGTCACCCACCAGGCTGGAGTGTAGTGGTGCCATCTTAGCTCACTGCAACCTCCGCCTCCCAGGTTCAAGTGATTTTTCCTGCCTTAGCCTCCCAAATAGCTGGGACTATAGGCGTGTGCCACCATGCCTGACTAATTTTTTTAGTAGAGACAGGGTTTTACTGTGTTGGCCAGGCTGGTTCTCAAAATCCTGACCTCAGGCAATCCGCCCACCTTGGCCTCCCAAAGTGCTGGGATTACAGGCGTGAGCCACCACACCCAGCCTAAGACTCTGTCTTAAAAAAAAAAAAAAAAAGTTCCAACTGACCAAGCATGGTGGTTCACACCTATAATCTCAGCACTTTAGAAGGCCATGGTGGGAGGATCTCCTGGGCCCAGGAGGTAGAAGCTGCAGCAAGCTATGATAGCACCACTGCACTCCAACCTGGGTAACACAGAGAGGCTCCATCTCAAAAAACAAAAAAAGTTCCAGCTCAAAGGAGCCAGATCCCAGCAGGCAAGAGGTCAGCAGTAGGGCAGACACCATTACAACAATGGGCTCCAGAGCCTGCCCTGGGTCACACAGGGTCTTCAAGACCAGAAGCTGCTAGAAGACAAGAGAAAGGCATCGGGGTCTAACAGTGATGCCAGGGGCTGTAGGAAAGCCAACGGGACAGAGGCCTGGTCTTCCAGAAGTTCTCTGCAGGAAAGAAGGAGGGATGAGAAGAGATGGTAATACCGCCCCGTAACACGTGGCTGAGCATGTCACAACCTTCCAGAAACTTTCAAGGCCTCCCTGTTGACTACATCAGGATGGAGTTCAAACTCCTTGGCGGGGCCTCCAAGGAGTCTGTGTCTTCAGGACACAGACCCAACACAGCCACAAGTAGTTCAATCCTCCGCGTCTCAGAGGTGAGGCAGCTCAGACCTCCACATCTGCCCGGAGTTCCCTCTAACTGGAATGCCCTCCTTCTCCTTCATAGGTCGAGCACCCCTCATCCTTCAGGGCCAAGACAACTTCCAGCACCCCAGGGTTACAGGGGAGGAGCATGGGCTCTGAGGTCAGACCTACTCGTTCAAAACTCAGCTGTTCCACCCTCTGCTGCCTTCCCTACAAAATGCAGACGGTGACAGCCCCCATCTCATTGGGTGGTAGGAAAATTAAATACAGTAATTCATGAAAGCGCTTTGAACTGTGCCTGGCACACAGTAAGTGCTCAATAAACGGACTGTTGTTCCTATTGTCCTCTGGGCCCCTTTAGGGCCCTCTGTTTCCACCACAAGTAGGGCACTGTCTTGCACATATTTGTTACACATCGGGCTCCCTCTGCCAACCACCTTTTAGAGGGCTGCTCCCAGCACAGTGCAGGGCAGCATGGTCCTCCATGAGTGCTTACTCCCTGGGGCTGCAGCGCCTGGGGCCGACCCCACACAGAGCTCTCCCAGGGGCCCAGCTATTGGCCTCCCAGAACTCCCACACCAAATCCGCAGTCTCCAGGCCCAGAGCTGTGACTCGGTTTCAAAACAATAAAAGGCTGTACCCTGCCTTGCCGGGGCTGTTTCCACTCCAGGGAATTTACAGAGAGAAATGAGCACAGCAGGGACTGGAAATAGCACTGAGCCCTTCTCAGGGTGAGAGACTGGGCAGGCCAGCCAGAGACCAGGAGCAAAACCTCTAAGACAGAGAGGGAGAAAACGGCCTCCAGACAGAAGCCCCAGCTCACAGAACTCGGCCAACAGGAACGAACTAGGACAAGTGCCTCACTCACCCTGCTGCCTCGAAGCTCTTCTTTCCACTTGGTTGGAGAAATTCAGAAGGGGCTCCTTGCATAACCCACCACCACCGTGGGTGCAACAAATAAGACATCCAGAATCCACTGCACGAAGGCTTTTGGGGTAATTCACAGCGCCTTCTCCACTCACATTAGCTACTGGAGCCTCGTATCTGGATTGGGGTCACTAAATCAGTGTCCATCTTCCCAGCAGACTGGGAGCCCCTAGAAGGCAGGCACCAGGTCCCACTGACCATCACACCGCTATGCCCCAGCACAGTGCCTGGCACATAAGATGTTCAGGAAGTTGCAAGATACGATCTGGCAGTAAGAGAGAGTTCCTGGTTCAAGGATGATTCCATCCAGGCTTGCCACGGATCATGGAGAAGAGCGTCATGAATTCCCTCTGGGCATCAGTTTACCACATCCGCAAATAGGGACAACAACCGTTCCTTACTAACACAGCTGCTGTGCAAATTACACAGGAAAATATACGTAGAAAGCACAAAAGCCTCAGATGAACGCCAGTCATCCTTCAGGCTTCAGCACAACCGTCTCCTTATGAGAGAGTCTTTCCTGTGGCCACGATCCTCCTTCCCGGGCACTGAACCTGCCCCTGTACTCCTTCTACTCCTTTGTTCGGTATTTTTCACATCACTGTGATCACCTGTTTCCAAGTCTGATTCCCCCAGGCTTGAGAGCTCCTTGATGGCTTGGGCATCAAATGTTTGTGTCCAGGTGCGCACACATACCTGGCTGCTGGAGCTCTCCCACCCCAGCGTCCCAGGTCCCAACTCTGATACGCATAGCACCCTAGACAAGGTTCAGAGGCGCAGAGCCTAGGGATCCTACCAAGGAAGCTGAATAGGGGATGCAAAGGGACACTGTAGGCATAACCTGTCAACGAAGTCACACCTCTGAGACCTCTGAGACCTGCGCTGCCTCTGCAGGTGCAGGTGAGCTTGTTTGCCTGGCTGACTCTGCAGCGCAGGGCCTCCAGGGCACAGATTGCTGCTTCTTTCCTTACAAAAGCACCAGCAGTCAGATAAATAATACATGGCCTTCACTTCACCACAAGTATCAGGCATGCAAACACCTGCTTTGCCCCAAAATGCCCTGGAAGGCAGGGAGGAGTAAAACGTCTGGCCTTATACAACACCCCCAGAGGGGATATGTATTGGGAATCCATGCCCATCCCCCAGCCTAACTGCCTTCCTTTGGCCTGGAGCCACCCAGCACTGGAGGTAAGTGGATCCAAGCGAGGTACCAAGGGTGTGCCCGGGAAGGAAATGTACAATCCACGGGAAGGATACAGACACCCAAAACCAGTCTTTGGTTGGTCCCAGTTGGAGGCAAACATCTTTCGAGCCCCAGGTGCCAGTCGATCGCCTTCCAAACCTGCGGATCTACGTGCCGGGCGTGTACACCCTCCACTCACGACGCAGCCCCGAAGGCCCCCAGCCGACCACCCTCCCAGGTCACTGTCACCCGCACAGGTCACGGACGCCTCCCCCACTCACTCGGCCGTGCCAGGCGCCAGTACACCCACCCAGGAGCACACAATCCCTCTTGCAAAGCGCCTGTCCATCCGCCTCCCTCTCCCGGGGCCACCCCTCGGGCAGGTCCGATTACACTCCAGGCGCTGCCCCCGCCACGTTGGCGTGGAAAGGGAGCGGGCACACCCACGGGCGACCTCGCGGGGAGGAGGGGAGGCACGGGTTGGGAGACGGATGCCCACTCCCTCCGCGGCCGCGCCGGCCTCCTTAGTGCCCTCCCCGCCCGGGCGCCGGCGGCCGAAGCCGGGCGTCCCTCGCGCGGGCCTCTCCGAAACAAGCAGCCCCCCGCGCTTGGGAGTCGCAGTTCCCCCTTGGGGCTCCCGGGCGAGACCGGCCAGACAGGATACCTCAGGAGCCCATGGCGGTGGCAGCGTGTGCGGACGACGCGCGGCGGCCGGGCTCTGCGAGCGGGGCGGGCGGTACGCGCCGCAGCCCTGGAGTCGGCGCCGCAGCCCTGGAGTCACCGCCACTGCCGGCGCGTCCCGGGCCCAGTGGTGTGCTGCCGCGGCGCGCATGCGCACTGGGCTCGCCGCCGGGGAGGGCGGGGCGGCGAAGGCGGCTGAGATCACTGCCTGGGCCTTAAAGGGGCCGCGCCCCGAACCCCAACCGGCCGCCCCGCAGGTTGGGGCGCGACCCGCATTCTCCTGCCACTCACAAAACAAACTACGACCGGCCCCCAACCTCGAGAACTTTCTGGGCTGCGATCTCTGTCCCTGACCCTCGCTGGTGCTTCACTTCTCTTAACCCTAATTTCCTCCATTTGAGCCTGTTTTGAAGATGAAACGAAATACAATGGCTATTTGTTGAGTGAAGGATGCGTGTGGAATTGTGGAATGAACGTGGACCGAGTGTTGTGTGCAATTAGGCCAGATGAAATTGCAAAGCACTGAAAGAGGCTTTTTCTTCCCACCCCACTTAGCAGCGATTCTTTCTTGCCCCATCTGGCTCTAGGCTGCCGAACTAGCAAAAGTCTTCAGATAGGGTTCAAGCCGCCTAGCCTATTTCTGTTTGCTAGGTCCAGACATCACCTAGGTTAGTTGAACCAGATAAAATGCAATTATCTTCTGGCATTGATGTGCTCAAGATCCCCAAATGTATTTGTGTCTCCAGACTCCTCCCCTGAACTGTCTGCTCAACACTTCTTTCTTGGAGGTCCAGCAGGCATCTCAAAGTCAATGTGTCTGCAGCTGAGCCAACTGCACTTCCACACACACAGACCTGCTCCCTCTCAGCCTTGCCTTCATCAGCTGTTGACAATTCCATCCTTCCAGTCCCCAGGCCACAACTCAGAGTCAGCTGTGAATGCCCCGCTTCTGCCTGCTACCCAGTAAGGCAGGCGGGAGATCTTGCTGGCTCTACCTGCAAAATAGATCTAGACTCTGACGTCTGCCACTCCACCTCCAGTGCTACCACCCTGGTCCAGTATCTGCAGAGGATTATTGCAAAGTTCTGCTAACCCATCTCCCTTGTTCCAACCTTGCCCTCTGATCCACCCTATCAATTCAGGGCTGAGGGAGATTCTTTTAGAATCTGCCAGGCACGGTGGCTCACGCCTGTAATCCCAGCACTTTGTGAGGTCAGATGGATCATTTAAGTCCGGGAGTTAGAGACCAGCCTGGCCAACGTGGTGAAACCTCATCTCTGCTAAAAATACAAAAATTAGCTGGGTGTAGTGGTGCATGCCTGTAGTCCCAGCTACTCGGGAGGTTGAGGCATGACACCTGCTTGAACCTGGGAGGTGGAGGTTGGGTTGTGGTGAGCCAAGATCATGCCACTGCACTCCAACCTGGGTGACAAAATGAGAATCTGTCTCAAAAAATGAAATAAAATCTAAGTCAAAACATGGCACTTTTTTGCTCAAAACCGTCCATTGGCTCTCTATTTCACTTTAAGTAAAAGCCTTACAAGTCCTTACAAATGCTTAATCTGACATTCTACTCTCCTGGGTATTCCTGACCTCATTCATCTCTTACCCTTTCCTTCCACACTGACCCCTTGCTGTTCCTAGAACAAGCCGAGCTCACCCGGCCCCGAGCCCCCTGCACGAGCTGTTCCCTCTGCTGTGATCGCTGTTTCCCCAGATACCACAATGATTCCTCCATATCTTCTTCAAGGGCTTGCTCAAATGTCCTCCACTCAGTGAGGCCTGCCCTGAGCACCCTAGTAAAACTACCAGACCCCTCGCATGCACTCTGTATTTCCCGTTACCATGCCCTACTTTCCCTGTCACTTCATTTCTATCTTATTATATAGTTTGCCTATTTCCCTGTGTGTCTTCTTCTAGTAGAACATACGATTTTTGGTTTTTGGTTTTTTTGTTTTTGTTTTTGCTTTTGAGACAGTCTCACTCTGTCACCCAGGCTGGAGTGCAGTGGCACAATCTCAGGTTACTGTAACCTCCGCCACTCAGGCTCAAGTGATCCTCCCACCTCAGCCTCCTGATTAGCTGGGATAATAGGCATGTGCCACCATACCCGGCTAATTTTTGTATTTTTTTGTAGAGATGGGTTTTCGCTATGTTGCCAGGGCTGGTCTTGAACTCCTGGGCTCAAAGCAATCACCCGTCTCGACCACTCAAAGTGCTGAGATTATGGGTGTGAGCCACCGCTCACAATAAATTCTGAGGACAAAGATTTTCATCCTTTTTGGCTTTTTATTGTTGTTGTTTGAGACAGAGTCTCACTCTGTCACCCAGGCTGGAATGCAGAGGCTCAGTTTCGGCTCACTGCAGCCTCAACCTCCTGGGTTCAAGCGATTCTCTCGCCTGTGCCTCCCAAGTATCCGTTTTGTTTTCTGATGTAATCCCAATACTTAGTACAGGATCTGGCATAGAGAACATGCCCCAAAAAAGTAGGTATAACATGACCAGAGATCCCGTAATAGCAAAATCCTATAGAACAATTCCTCCCCAGCTCTAGGTAGGACATGCCTGGGGCTGTCCTAACAAGAGCAAGGCTTATCAATTGCATTGTAATACCTTGTTTATGACTTCCCAGCTCTTCTTCCCTACACACTAACCCCTTCCGGAGGAAGTCCTTGCCCAATTACCCACCATATCTGCAATGCTAGTACAGAACACTTAGAGATCAGAGGCAATCTGCCTTACACTTCCCCTCCAGGGCTTTCACTTCAGGGTCTTTTTTTCTGCTTAGGGGCACTCTTGGGTCTCCACTTACAGAGGCCCCAGGCTGGCGGGTGTGGGGGGCAGAGGCAGGTGGTGGGTATTTTTAGGCTTGGTTGCCAGGAAGGGGCTCAAAGACAGAAAGTCACCTGGTCTGAGTGATATGGCGGGCCAGCAGGTGGTACTGGGGGCCCTAGTGGGTGCTCCCTGTGGGAGGAAAAAAGCCCAACCAAGACCTTTATTCAGGCTTTCCAAAATGAAGATAAACACCTCCCTTGCTATCTTCCTTCCCACCCCTCCTCCAGGCAACTACCCATCCTTTCTTTTAAGAGACAGGGTTTTGCTCTCTCACCCAGGCTGGGGTGCAGTGCTTTGATCATAGTTCACTGCAGCCTCAAACTCCTGGGCTTAAGTGATCCTCCACCTTGGCCTCCCAAGTAGCTAGGACTACATGAGCATACCATCACACTCGGCTAATTTTCTATTTATTTATTTATTTATTTATTTATTGACAGAGTCTTGCTCTGTTGCCCAGGCTGGAGTGCAGTGGTGCAATCTCGACTCACTGCAACCTCCCAGGTTCAAGCAATTCTCCTGCCTCAGGCCCCCTGAGTAGCTGGGATTACAGGCACGCACCACTACGACCAGCTAATTTTTTGTTTTTTGTGTTTATTTTTTGTATTTTTTTTTTCTTTTTTTAGCAGAGTCGGAGTTTCACCATGTTGCCCAGGGTACTCTCAAACTCCTGAGCTCAGGCAATCTGCCCGCCTCAGCCTCCCAAAGTGCTAGGATTACAGGCGTGAGCCACCACACCTGGCCTAATTTTTTATTTTTAATGTTTTTATGATGACAGGGTCTTGAACTCCTGGCCTCAAGCAATCCTTCTGCCTCTGCTTTCCAAATTGTTGGGATTGCAGATGTGATCAGCATGCCTGGACTATTCTTTCTAATCAGGCTCAAAGATTCCACTTAAATTTGTCCCCTTTCCCCTTCACTGCCCTGGTTCAGTCTGCCTTAACTTCTGGACAATTATAATGGTTTCCCAGCCCCTCAGAATCACCTTTCCCCCTGCCCACAGGCTAATGAAGAAAGAATACTTTTCTCAATGCCCAGCTCTACCCTTTTCAACGCAACTCAGCGAACAGCTACTCCTTAAGGACCAAATCAGATATCACCTTTTTTTTTTTTTTTTTTTTTTTGAGACGTAGTCTCGCTCTGTCCCCAGGATGGAGTGCAGTGGCACAATCTCGGCTCACTGCAACCTCCATCTCCCGGATTCAAGCAATTTGCCTGCCCCAGCTTCCTGAGTAGCTGGGACTACAGGCGCGCACCACCAGGCCCAGCTAATTTTTGTATTTTTAGTAGGGATGGGGTTTCACCATGTTGGCCAGGAAGGTCTCTATCTCTTGAACTCATGATCTGCCTGCCTTGGCCTCCCAAAATGCTGAGATTACAGGCGTGAGCCACCGTGCCTGGCATGGTTCCTTCTTGATCCCACCTCCCTCTCTATCCTCCAAATCCTGTTTTAGTTTCTCCCTAACAAATAATTGGAAATAACCTGAAAGTCATTGAAGAATGGTTAAGTAAATTGTGTAGATCCATGCCACGAATGGCATATTGTATAGATATTAATGTAGTCTCTGGACACATTACTAATCATTTCCTTATTGAGTGAAAAAGGCAGTTACAAACTTATATGGTAGCCTTTCTGAATGCTGTAAAAAAAAAAAAAAATGCTTAGAAGAAAGATTGGCTTTGGCTGGGCTGGGTGACTCACGCCTGTAATCCCAACACTTTGGAAGGCCGAGGCGGGCGGATCACTTGAGGTCAGGAATTCGAGACCAGCCTGACCAACATGGTGAAACCCCCGTCTCTACTAAAAATACAAAATTAGCTGGGCATGGTGGCGCATGCCTGTAATCCCAGCTACTTGGGAGGCTGAGGCAGGAGAATCACTTGAACCTGGGAGGCAGAGGTTGCAGTGAGCTGAGATCACGTCACTTCACTCCGGCCTGGGCAATAAGAGTGAAACTCCGCGTCTAAAAAAAAAAGAGAAAAGAATGAAAGATTGGCTTTGTTCCTTCTCCACTCCCACTGTTTCACTTGACTGGTCTTAAAAAATAATAATAGAAAAGATTGGAAGGAAATATAACAAAATGCCAATAGTGGATTGTTCTAAGTGGCAAGATTATGAACATTGGGCTATCTTCTTCTTTTAATTTTATTTTCATTTTTGCTTCTCTGTATTTTCCAAAAAGTGTTTCAAAAAGCATATTATGTTTTCAGAAAGAAAAAAAAAATGTTGTTTAAGGCTCACACCTGTAATCCCAGCATTTTGGGAGGACAAGGTGGGCAGATCACCTGAGGTCAGGAGTTC